CAGAACTCAGCTGTGATGAGAGGGCGGGGCTATGCAGATTAGATCAGAAGTCAGCTATAGTGAGAGGGCGGGGCTGTGCAGGTTAGACCAGAACTCAGCTGTGATGATGAAATCCTCAGCAGCCTTTCTGCCAATGCATCCCATAATGCTTGGATGGGGACATTTTTCCAACCTATCTTCTCTCCTACAGAGGTCCTTCTGCAGTGCCATGGTGGACGAGCTCCGCGTGTCGCTCAAGTGTCAACGGCGGCTGAAACACAAGCCCCAGGCTCCCGTCATGGTCAAAACCGAGGAGGTCATCAACATGCACACATTCAACGACAGGAGACTGCCTGGCAAGGAAACCATGGCGTAAAGAATCGTAGTAATAAAACAACACGCCATTTTGCTTTTGCGATGGAAACTGGGGGACTGGGGGGCGGGATGATGGGGGGTAGCTGGGAGATGGGGCGAGGCTGAGTTTGGGGAAAGGAAATGGGTGAATGCCTGGAACACAGACTGTCATCATTGTTCAAAACAATTTGCCAGAAAAGAAAAATGTTTCCTGTGGAAATATTCAAACCCGGGCAAAATCCAATGAGTTACCTCATAAATCTGACACTTGGGAGCTTGTGCAGCAAAATTCAGAAAATAAAATGTAAAAAAAAAATTATAATACTACAAAAAGACTCTGATGGTTTTGGAGTTAAGGGATGTGTATTTGCATTTCAGTTTAATGGGCATTGTCTCAGTTTAACTGTCCTTTCTTTGGAATTTCAATGTAAATCTGAGTTCTCTAGAGAACACAACTATTGCGTTTCATGAACACAATATGCATTACACACGTATACAGTATAAAACTGGGAAAACAAGTAGTAGGTGGACTGCAAGGGAATATGTGGTGTTCTTGTTTTAAGTTTTCTATGACCTTATGTTTTCTAACATTTATAATTGATAGAATAAAATGTGGTACAAAAGTTTGGTTCAAAAATATATGGGGCAAAACCCCACCAACAGAAACCAAAAATGAGAACTTGCGAGTCCTAAAGTACAATTAATCTGAAAAAGCAGAGAGGAAGCACCATCATACCGGCAATAAGTTATTAAAAGGTGTCGAGATTTTAACGTATACGATATATGCGTAATATATAATCTGTCTTTTTAAGTATTTGATGGTAGAGTATCAGGCTGCTGTTGGACACAGAGAGGATTGATGGGCTGCACCCAAAGACAGGCATTAAGACACATCGTCACCTGAGAAACCGTGACCCCCCCCCCCCCCCAGTGGAATGTAGATCCTGGGGGCTAAAGCAAACTACCAGCTACTAGAAGCGAGACGGCTGTATTTATTTACTTATTATTTTAATTTATTAATTTGCTTGTTCATCATTTTATGTGCGTCATTAAGACTCAAAATTGTGAGGATTCACCTCAAACAAAATTTGCTGGTTTCCGTTCATTTTATATATATATATATATATTTTTTTTTTGTTTGTTTTTTTTCTGTTTCTTATTATTCCTATTTTAGGGGCAAAATCTTCACGTGTTCTTGTGGAAATGCAAGATTTCTATGAAAAAGTGTTTTTTGTAAGAGTAACGAAAAAAATTAAAAAAAAAAAAAAAGAAAAAAAGAAAAAACAATTTTGTAATCATTTTTATCAACCAAACCGGCCATGGGGGTGTCTGGGTCTGGGGGTGTCAGTGAACCCTCCCCCACACACACGTGCTCTGCGGCTGCCTGAGCAGGATCAACGCTACAGGGGGTGTCCATGGAAACTGAGAACGCTCTCCATGCGTCTGTGTTCGTTTGTTTAGGGCTGGGGGCCCTAGCATGCCTGGTAGTGCAGAAGCAACACGTTTTCGACAAAACCTATTTTTTATCTTGTAAAGGAAGAATCACATTTAAAGAAAATATTTTTACTTGGAGTAACAAGAGAGTAGACAAACAAAAACTATATATATATATATATATATATATATATATATATATATATATATATACACATAGCAAATAAAAGTAAAACGGAGGTGGACTCTGCCAATGTTGCTTTTCATTCTACCCCTGATTTCCAATAGACTGCTAGTATTCAGTGCTGAGAAATTGTGTGTAAATGGTTTAAAATGGAAGATATATATATATATAAAATAAAAAATACTAAACTAATTTTGACCATGTTGTGAAAACAAAATGGAGTGCACACAGTTTACTGTTTGAATTTGATGCACAACTTTAAAAAAAAAAAAATTAAAAAAAATATACGAAATGTTTGCTTTGTTGGTTTTTCTCTTCAAGTACATGCCAGAGACAAAAGTGCATTTTTAATTAAATGGACGTAGGTGGTTTTTTTTTTGATAAATTAGCTTTATACACAATGCAGTTTATTAGAAGCCATTACTTCCAAGCAGGGGTGTCAGAAGCAATTTTGAATGTGGGGGGAGACACACACACACACTGGCATAAAACTAATATTTTATGTTAAATGTGGGGGGATCCAAACAAATAATTATGAAATGTGAGGGGGACATGTCCCCCTCAGATTTAATGGTGGCGACGCCCATGCTTCCAAGCCTGAGTGAGGCTGGTCACCCTGTGAACAGCAGCAGAGAGCTCTGACTTGTGAGATGTTACATCCAGTGACTGACTTGCAGTCCCTCCAGTCAGCACAGATCCATAAAGTGACACAAAACTTTAAATACAGTACAGATACTCCCAACACAAAGTCAAAGTACTTTTAAAG